GTAGCAGTAGCAGTAGCAGTAGCAGTAGCAGTAGCAGTAGCAGTAGCAGTAGCAGTAGCAGTAGCAGTAGTAGTAGTAGTAGTAGTAGTAGTAGTAGTAGTAGTAGTAGTAGTAGTAGTAGTAGTAGTAGTGGTAGTAGTAGTAGTAGTAGTAGTAATACATCTTTATTGCGCCTTACTCTCCAAAGGGAGGCATTAGTCTAGTTACAATAGAGGTTTTCATAACTACAACAAATTATATAAAATATGAACGGAAACAACAAAAGATCAAGCGAGAGGTCAAGATGGCTGAATATTGGCCAAGTTCATTTTTGCGTTTCCGTTGACCGAGACCAAGTGTCGGTCAATAAAAACGCAGTAAAGAACGAGGACAATATCCAGCCTTTTTGACAGAACAAGCTTGGTCAATAAAAATAACTTTTTCTCACGGGACTAACGCGGGCAAGATGGGTCAATCTTGTTCGCTCGGGTAGCTAATCAGAACGCAGGATTCGTTTCATGCTGAATAACTTGCGCATTTGGTGATTTTTTTTAGAGCGAGGCAAACGCATGGTGAAGAAAATTTCATTTGCAGAGAAGCCGCGAGAGAAAACGGGAAACAGGAAAGAAGGCTTCACTGCTCTTCATCTCCCTCAAAGAAAACCGCCAGTTACTTGGCGCAGAAATTCTAGGGGACTCCCATTTGAAAGTGACGGGGATGCTTGTCGGAAAATTAAAATTAAACCCGTAAGGGAGACCAATATGGGTGTGGCTCAAGCTAAAACCAGGAGCCCATCCTGCTTAAACTGACACCTAAAGTAGACCATACTAAAACAGACATCTCGTCATTTTTTGTATATTTCTTTAAGCAGAGCCCTAAGCCATACCTAAATGGGCAAATATAGTGACTGTCCGTCTCTTACACCCCTAAGCAAGACGACGAGTATCCCGGTCACTTTTATATTGGAGTCCCCCCACCACCCGAGGTCAGATACTCTTGGCAATTTCCGCGCACCACCACAAAATTAATTAATTGATCGAAATCACTTTGAAATACCAGAAGCACTTTCAGAAAATACAGCAGATAAGGAGGATTATCATTGGAAGGATAAGTTTGGCCGATGTATTTCATACCCGTTCTTATGCCACAGTTTACAACTTAAACTTTTTTTTTTACCTACAATAGAAAACTGATTAATTGATGTACGGTTTCGCGTTGGCAGTCAGATTGCCAAAGTCACTAGAGCGCGCACTGATTTATCAAGTCTGTATTGCCACGGAAATGCCAAACCTTTTTCGACTCAGCAAAAGCAATCTCATACACTGAACAAAAAAGCGGTCTGGTCTATAAATGTGACAAAGTAAATCAACAAACTTGGAAAATGATGTTTACTCTTTCTTTTACAACTTCCCTACTCAGTATTTCTTTTGGAAGCTGAAATAAAACTGTTTCAGGATAACTGAATCACAAGATAGCGGGAGAGATGGTCTTCTCGCAGTCAGAAATGGCTTCTTTGCTTCTAAATATAGTTTTTCTTTTTTTCTCCAAAACATTTTATTGTTATCATTCTGAGAGGCCCGTAAGGCTAAGAATACCCCCGCGCGGGAAGAAGAAGAAGAGCACTTCATCGCTGTGTATTGAAAGAATAGAAAGTGTTATCTTTAGACGAATTTCTAGCAGGATAAAAAGAAAAAAAAATAAACTAATGCATTTAGTCTATATACCTGATATCACAGATCGGTGTAATTAAATTTGACCATATAAATGACAGAGACAGCCTTTACCTATATTGCTTCAAATATGCCGGAAATAGCTAAAGCCATACGCTTTGTTCGTTTCATAAACGTTCACTGTTAAGTTGAAGACCTGAATGGAGCTTAAAATCCGATTTGCTGACGCCATATGAATCTTTTCAAGTCTTTTTGTACTACGCAGATATGCACGTCATAAGAGAACATCGGCTTTAACAAGTTAGTTAAACTGAATCAACAAAAGTTGCGCAGCAGCTAATATAGTTAAGTATTAAAAAGTGAAAATATTTGTACTTTTAACACCTCGAGTGGCAATACCAGAGTTAATGAGGCTTTGACTAGTTTACGAGTCACTTCAACAGTGGAAAAAGTCAACTTATCGGGAAACTGTGTGCAAGGTTTAAAGCCGTAAACTGCAATGACATTCTGACCAAGGTAAAGCTGATCTGGTTAAGTATAGAGCCGTAATATTTTTAACACACAGGACGAAGCGAGCTTTCCACTTTGCAGCTAGTTCGACGTTCTTGTTCATAAATTAAACTAAGAGATTTCTATTGAAGAGCTCCTCTAGAGCTATACAAACTTATCAGAATGTGGTTTTCAAATGACTTTATTGCTTTACTAGCGTACCCTAAAAACCCCTGGAAATTAAGGTGAGACACAAAATCAAACAACGACAACATAACATATAATTAATGGTGGGTTCTGTCTTTGATAAAACGTTATGATGCATAATCATGTATTTAAGGCCATAGCTAACTTATTCAACCTTTCTGCAATAGTTAGCTGAATGCTCGTAATTGGGCACAGCGGCTATATATCTTGCAATGACTGAAATATTTGTCCAATGGTTTGTTCTCTCGAAACTTTCATCTCGAGCGTTTACTCGTACAGTATCGGAAAGGTGTCAATACAACTGTTTTTTAAAGTAATTATATTCTGATTTC